TATATATATATATATATATATATATATATATATATATATTACCTTTACAATAAGTAAAAAATAAAAATTGTAATAAAGCAATTTAATAAATAAAAATAATTAAATTGTGCAAGATAAAAATCAATATTCATTGGTTTCAACTTTTATTATTTCACTTGTAAATTGTATTGTATACAAAAATAATATTGTATGAGTAATATTTTTACCAAATAAGTTTACAAAAAATATTAGAGGGATCACAAACAATTTCGAATAAAACTCAATTTTTTTAAATAAAACTTCATAAACTATAACTATTTATTGTACTAACCTTTTATATATATGAACAATAACATACGTATGAACAAAATCAACCAGATAACTATGATGTTAATCTTAGAAATTATAAGTAAGATAAACAAAAAACATGATCAAATTAACAAAATAGCAAGAAATATTATAAACAAATTAATAATTCACTTATTAAAAAATATAAATCAATAAAATATATAACATGCATCAAGACATCCAAAACACAAGAAAAATAATTTTAGAAAATAAACTAAAATTTTAAAACAGAGATATATAACAACTTTTTAAAATTAAAAAATACAAAAGAAGAGAAACAAAACAAAAGGTTATATTATAACAAACCAAAAGGTTATAGCTTAAAGCATATAGAAATAAAATTAAATATATATGTGAGAATATAACAAATTAAAAAAATTAAATTATAACTTAAATTTCAAAAATGTTAAAAACCTATTTCATAATTAATCTATATTATTTTTTTCATTATTGTTTTTCACAAGATAAACTACCCAGATTCAAATATAAAAATAAAACTTTAAGATTATAGATTAAAGTTTGTAAATATATTAGTCTAGTGAGCAAATATATTTAGTTTATCATCATAAAGGTATGCTAAATAAAAAAATATCTAATAAAAACCTAGAGTTGATACATGTTTAAAACTATAAGCATATCAACACATAACTCATGTAAACATGATTTTTAAAACTATAAACATATCAACACATAACTCATTGTAAACATGATTTCGACATAAATATAATAAAAAGAAATATAACATGTATACTAAATATTATAAAATAATATAAATCATATCTTAAGATCTCACCTAATAATTTAAAATTTTAGGTTAAGATGATTATTTGACATGATATCAGAGTGGAGTTTGAATCTCATCACTCCATTTATTTGATAAAAATCAAGTACAAGATAATGTGGGTCTGTACAAGTTTCAAGCTCAAATAGCTTTCACTTGAGGGAGTGTGTTAAAAAATAATATAAATCATATTTTGAGGCCTCACTTAACAACTTAAACTTTTAGATAAAGATGATTATTTGATATTAAGCATATAACTTATAATTTATATTAATTCAAAGTTGTAATATGCATATTACTAATAAAAAATATCTATTTTTAAAAATCATAATTGCAACGCATCTATTACAAGCTTTAGCACTTCAATTAAAAGTATGTTTGGTATTGCAGTAATGATTATCTTTTAAAATTTATTTTAATATCAGTACATCAATAAAAAATATGAAGAAACTAAAAAAACATAAAATTTAAAGTTAAAAAAAAATTAATTTTTTTCAAAAATACTTTTGAAACATAAAAATAAACTAGTTATATACTTTCATTATATTTAATAAAATCTTTTTAACAAGAATGCAACTATTAACACGAATATGACCAAATGTGGCCACAAATTAATTACAAATGCAACATGATATCATATTTTTGTTACTACAAATATTACCATTATTTAATTAAGTTTGATTCCTCATAGATGGAGTTTTTTTTTTCTCGACAAAAAAAGGTACCATTAATAAAAAATTTATTGTAAACTGAAGTTTATATATGTATTTAATAAAATAAATTGAAAATTATATACACCAATAAATAATTATAAATTTGTTGGCTACAACTTAAGATTAAGTTGGGAAGTTAAGATAAAAATATTATTTAAAAAAACATTTGAATTTTTGTTTAAATTTAAAATTAAATCCTTAAGTTTTAATTGATTTGAATCAATAAAATTAAATTTCATCTTGTCAAATTGAATATTAACACACAGTCAAAACTTATTCTTAATATTATGAATGCCCATATAAAAACAACCTCAACAAAACATCAAATATAATCATAAATCAACTTAATACAAAAAAATTAAACTGAAAATATAAAAAAATCAAGTAATAAAAAAAATATTATGGATAATTATTATAACCCATACTATATTGTGTTTTTCTTCTATATTGCATATCCATAATTTTATTTTTTTAATATTTCTTCCATCTTGTACTGTTGCCCTTGTTTTTTTTATCACAAACACTATTTCATAATTTATTTTAGCATCAATTTTGCAAAACCACACTATTAAAAGTAAAAAGACTTAATTAAAAGATGACGTGAATAAAACAAAAATTTATTTGCTGTCAAAAATCTTTTCAAATATTAGAGTAATAAATATATAAAAATTTTGGGCTATTAAGTGTTAAGTACAAATATAAACGAGTCTGATGATTTATTAGAATAAATGCATTTTTAGGCTCCGCCCACACATATTTGGTTCCAGCAATCTGCCAAATACAACACCCCTAGACTCATTCAATTGTTGAGTTCACTGCCACATACAACACCCCTAGACTCATTCAACTGTTGAGTTCGTATGATGATTTGTTATACCCAACATCTCTAGATTTAATCAAATATTAAGTTCAAATATATATAAATTTGACAATTTACTAGACTTAATATTCCTAAACTTAGTTAAGTGCTAAGCCCAATCACATAAATATATTTTTCTTTTGATCAAGTTAAAGCTATCTTTTTCTTTTATAGAGAAAAGGTAGGAGAATGAATAGGAAAAAGATAAAAATTAACTATTAAAACCTATTGAAATTTTTAGAAAAGAGGTTAAAAAACCTCTCTTCTCAATGATATATTTATTTTTAGAATATTGTTTTAAAAGATCATGGTATTTTCTTAAAAAAAAACTTACTTAAACATTGAATAGTCTTTAAATCCAAAAAAAAAATATTTTACAGGTATTAAATACCAACTACAAACAAATCTACCAAAAAAATAGATCATATTATTAGAATCAAAAAATTAATAGATTATCTAACACATACATTTTATTCTTAATAAACTTGAATTTTTTAGGATATTATTATTAACTTATGTTATAAATTATGTGTTTTTCCAATATAAACCATATATTTTCAAAAAGATTAAAAAATTAATTTATGTAGTTATATGTTTCTCAACATGCACCACATGAACCATGATGTTATTAAAAATACTTTTCATATATGTAATGAAATTAAAAATTATTCTGAATATATGAGAAGTTTATGATATATGCAAAACATGCCTCGGATAAATGTAAATCAAGTCAATATGCTATGAGACTAATTTTTTTTTTAAGAGAGTAATTTTATAACGTGATATACTATTAATTATTTTTTTGGTAAAAATCAGAGATATTATTATCATTTTGTGTAAGTCATAATTTTTTATATATATATTTTTTATTTTTTAAATAAATTTTAAAAAATTAATAAAATATTACTAATTCTCCATCAAAATCTTCCGGGCCGGAGGAGTTGTTAGCCTAGGAATGAAGGTATTCACTTTTCTTGTGGATTTTAATTTCCACAGCAGACAGCACAGGAAAAAGCAACAGAAAAAGAAAAGTAAGAAGAAAGAGAGCGCGCCTAAAGGCTCGCCAAAAATGGCGACGACGAAGCGAAACGGTGGAACCACCAGGTCGGGGAGAACGAACCCAAGGGTTTGGCTATACTCCGTTTTGCTCGCTTTTCAATACGGAGCCCAGCCTCTCATCTCCAAACGCTTCACCAGGTCCTTTCCTTTCCTTTCCCTTCTAATTCCAATTTCCAACGGCTTTACTTTCCTTTCTCTTCGATTTTCTTGTCTTTCTCGCATTGATTATTTTCTCTTGGAATTTCATCAATTCAACTCGCTTTGTTTTTTCCAAGTAAATTTTGCATTAGGATTCGATTCTCTTTATTCCTTTAATGAATTTGAAATTAAATTGTTGATTGATTAATGATTGCCTTTTTTGGTACAATTTGAGGAAGCATGATCAGGTTAGTCGTAATTTGTATTAGTTATTCAATTTCCGGATTCCGATATTGGTATGTTGTGATTCTGACCTAGTTTATACAAAATCAGCTGGTCTGTTCTGACCTAATTTTTACTGATTTCGACGGTCTTATTGCCTGAAAAATTTGTGAATTTGTGCTCAATCTGGCTTTTTTGCGTTCGTTCTTAAGCTACCCCAAGCTTTAATGGATCCAATTTATTATGATCGTTGTTTCCTTTATATGTTAACAAATGTTCTTGGCATGCGTTTTTCTATGCAATGCTAGTCACTAATTAATTGAGTTTCATGCAGACGTGAAGTAATCGTGACTACATCTGTTTTGACATGCGAGTTAGCTAAGGTAAGTCATGTTCCAAGTACATGAATTTCGTTTTCATTGAAGTTTTTGTTTATATTTAAACACAATGATCATCTACTTTTTTCTTTTATTTTCTTTAGGTTGTATGTGCCCTAATTCTCATGGTAAGAGATGGTAGTTTGAAGAAAGTGTTCAGCCAGTGGACTTTGGTTGGTTCGTTGACTGCATCCGGACTTCCTGCAGCAATTTATGCACTGCAAAACAGCTTGCTGCAGATATCATACAAGAATCTTGATTCACTCACATTTTCAATATTGAACCAGACAAAA